TATATATATATATATATATATATATATATATAGTTTCACTTGCTGCAATTGTATTCATTTGTTCGTTTGCAAAAATCATAATATTGTGTACCATGTAAATTTATTTTGTTTAACACATGTTCTCTTTATAAAAAAAAAAAATTAACAGAGACCAGTAAAAGTACATATGGACTTATAAAATATTTTAGTCACTGGTTTCATGGATCAAAAACTACATTTCCTCAATTTTTACTCCAATGCACTGTTAAGTTTTTTTCAAAATTTAACAGAGTTACGTCAAAATAAAATTTATACCAAAACATTGCAAATGGTGCAGATCTTTTTAGTATCATAAGGCACAGGTTGAGGCACATCATCATTATTAGAAGAACATCTTCTTATGCTGAGTTCGAAAGCTTTTTGGCGTATTTGTTCCATATTCTCTTCATGTCGACGGGCACTTTCTTCTTGCTAAAATATTTTTACTTCTTATTCATTAATTGTTCTAAACAATAAGTAAATAATACAAAACTTAGATACTGAAATCTGCTACATTACAAAAATACAATTTCAAAATCATATAACTGTCCAGATAAATAATAATCCGTAAAAGATTCTAAATGAAATATAAACTTTTATAAGGAACTTCTCAATATTTATTTATTGTTTTATAAAACCAAATTAAATAGTTAGAAAATAGTTTAATTATTGCATTAAGTAAACTTCTTTTTCGTGTCCTATAAACTTTTAAAAAAGGTTGCATCCTGTAAAATTTTTGCCCCCCCCCCTTAACAAAAAAAGACTAAATGAAGCATACATTTTTATTGAGGCCTCTTAGGATTTTTTTAAAACTACTTACTACAAATTCCAAACCATAAATATTCTCTTAAGAAAATACTTAATAAAAAATATAAACACAGTTTAAGTACGACTCCCCTATACAGTGACCCTCAATGCAGTGATCCTCCCAATCAGTGATTTGTTATTCCATAGACAATGTTATTTTAATGCTCATTAGAATATCTGCAGTAAGCCATTCATTCTAATATTGTGGTCAGAATTAAATAATTAATTTAGAAAAGGTTTCAAAGAAATTATTTAAATAATTATTTCCTTTGATAATAACACACCATAAATATATAACACCTTTGAATAAAAAAAAGGACATCATGGGTGCAAATTGGAAAAAAGGCCAAGACTGAAAATTTATTGACTGAAATACCTAACATACACAATACCCCCTCATTTTATACCCCCTGAACATATTTTTTGTTGTAAAAAAAAATACATCAAGCATTATTTTTACAAAAATAAAGTAAAACTCTAAGTACCTTGAGTTGTATTTTCTTTTGAAGCTCTTCTATTGAAATTTGCTGCTGTGCATTAAGAGCAGATTTTCTTAATTCTCTATCCCTGTAAACAAAATAAAAAGTGAATGCTACACATCAAGTTGAAAATTAACTATAAAGACTTGAATTAACTCAGATTAGTAGAACCAAGATCAAGCCAAAAAAGTTGTTCTGAAAAATATTAAAAAAAGAAGTAGCAAGAGAAATTTATATAATCAGTTCATATTTAAGTGAAACAACTTTTATAAATAAAGATGAGCAGAATATTGAAATATAAGTACCTAACCAAGTGTTGTTTAAATTGATGCAAAAACTAAAATAACTAAATTTTCAAGTTTTAAGTTGTTAAAAGTCTCAAATTAAAAGTTGTAGCAACTGTTTAATCTGAATAGAATATTTTTTCATTGCTTTTAACTACCTTACTTCCTCAGAGCAATAATTTTCCATTTGCTCCAGTTGGGCTCAAAATTGCCTCAACATGGGCCCTATGAGAACATGCACCACTGGGGGACCAATATTGGGATGCTTATTTTTTTAATATTGGTCCCATAATGGCATATATAGAGCCTATTTGGCTGATGTCCGGCCTATATTAGCTTAATAATGAATATAAAATTTTGGGAAAATCTGATAATTCCATATATAGGGCTGATATTGATTGTAAAGTGGTTGTAATATATCGGGTGATTCGGATGATTCGACATAGAGCCACTATTGGAAAAATAATGGTCCTTTGAACCCATATTGAGCCAACATTCATGAATAATGGTCCAAAGAGGACCCAAGTTATTTTGCAGTTAAAATATGCATTTATTACAATAATAACACAAGTCAACATCACTAAAAGCAAGATAAATAAATAAAAATATTTTACAAAAAAAAATGCTAAAAAGTATTTTAACATTACTTTTTTGAGAAAAGTAATGTAAGTAGAAAAAAAATTTCATTTACCGAGCTTTTTGATTAGCCAACTCTATTCTTTCTTTTTCTTTAACAAGGAAGAGTTGTTCAACTTTATGGTCTCGCATTTTCCTTTTCTCCTGCATTTCATTCAAGCGAGCAAGTCTCTCAGCCTCTAAAATTTTTCGTCGCTCCTAAAGATCAAATACACAAAACATTTGATAAACATCAACATAATAATTAACATCAAATATTTATAATTTATTATTAATATTTGTAAATTTCTTTCTTCATCACTTGGTTGTTAAGCACATTATGCAACTTTTCAAAATAATTTCAAAGATTTATTTCTTTACCTCAATTGACATTTTTCTTTTATTAAATGCGTAATAAATAAATTTAAAAAATATTATAAAACACAGTACGTTACGAATTAATTCTATTACGGCGGAGACAATCCGACGCCAATCAAAATATTCTTTGTTTAGTTGTTTTTGATACACTCACGAGGAAGGAGCACATCTCGAAAGCTCCTTTTGTTTTTAGTTCTCATGAATATTATCTTTGTTTTTCTCATTTCAGTCTGTTATGTTTTATTATTATGTTTTGATAATAAATATAAAAAGCACATATTGACTGTTTTTTGACACTAACCAGGGCATTTAATGGCAGAAATATATTGTGTAAATCTTGGCAGTACACATACCCGAATCTTGAATTAAGTTTTCTATCACAGTATACTTAGAGTAAGATTGTCCTGCATCCTAATAAAATAATATGCATAAACATTTAGTGCATTTGCAACATATGTCAACCCTTAATGGTTCGAAAGTATTTAAAGTGTATTAATTTTCCACCAGATATAATAACAATAATTAATTATAAAGTTCTCCACGAAGGCAAATTTCTCCCAATACTTGATCCAGAAGTTCCCTTGTTTTCTAGAATGGGTTCAAAATTACAAGGCTATAGAGTTGAACATTAGTAGTCGTAAACCCAAAACTTGGGTCAGCTGTTCAACGCCAGTTATAAAATATTTAAAAAAATTCATTATAATATTAATTATAATGAATTTTAGTTAAATTTAGTAATTATTTAGTTAAATTTATGGGAAGTATGGCAAAATAAGAATAATGAAACAATTTTTACAGCAATAGGTACTGCATTCATAGAGACTAACTATTTGAGGCTGTTACAAATTAATTTTTTAGTTGTAATGAACCAAAGCACAATTTTTTTTAAACAAACAGATTTTTTTAAAAAATTTATAAGAACATAGGAGCTTAAGCATTCATCTATAAGACCTTACATGTATTAGTTTAAATTACTTTTGTTCGTAGATGTAAAAAAGTTTAATTCTTTTCGAAATCTAAATACATTATTCTTGATTCTATAAGGAAAAATATTTTCTGAAACTACGGAGAATTTGCAATAGTTGAAGTCTCTGTGTTTGACCCAGTATGTGAGAGTACAATGCCATTTACATGGTGCAAATGATGCATTAAGAGTTAATTTTATGATGCAAAATAATAATTTATGAAAAAAATACTTACGATTCATATTTATGATACATTTAAAAATTTCAAAGAAATATTTTTTTTTAAAAAAATCCATCCACACAGTGCATACATACAGAATCAGCAACATATGATTAATAAATGGAAATTTAATTAGTTTTAGTTTAAATATGTAGTTTTGCTACCAACTAAGAATCAAAATTTCTCTAGACTATCTAACCCTCCGAACACTGAGCCTCAAGGTTAAATTGTTAAGAAATTTCCCTGCAATGCACAACTTTTACAATGTATAACATGCAGAAATATAGTTTTTTGATGCAGGAAAATTGTAGCTTAGAGTTCCAAAAATGTCTGAAGCGGTTCATAAAATTTAAAACTTTATTTGGTATTGTAAATAGAATAACTGTAGAAGATTGTAAAAACAGAATCGAGACTCTAACAGTCTGAGCTTAACATAAAAAAAAATCCACAGAAAAACTACGATTTAAAAGTACCAAAATGCAAAGAAAAACATAGATAATTCTGCCAAACCTTACCAATTAGCAAATATGCTTCACGAAAAAAAAAACTAAACTAATATTTTTATTACATTCAAATTAATTTACTCTGAGTTTTATAAACTCATGCAAATAATTCAAAGCACAACACATAAAATATTCAGAAAAATTAGACCTCTGCAGCCGCTTCTTTTGCAGCTTTTTCCTCTTGCTTCCTTTGTCTCTCTTCCTAAAATATAAAATATTAAACAGATAATCACAAAAGAGGTGCTATTGAAAAATGCTAATTTTGTGAAATTGTCTAAGTACATCAACTCAGAATTGATTATTTATTTAATAATTTTAAATATAAATTTCTTGCATTAAGCAAAATAAAAGAGGATCCAGCAAATCTTAACTTTTTTTACAGAACTTCCAACTTTACTATTTCTAATATCTGCTAATAATGATGAAAAATAGTTTTAAAGAAAATGATGGTACAGTTATGAATATTTTATAATCTGGAATTTCTTTATTGTTGCATAAATTTAAACTAATTATGATAATCGCAATGACTTTAGGAAATTTTGCATATTAAATAATTTTGTTTACATACTGAAGTTTAATCCTATGACAGTTTGTGAACATGTTTCTTAAAAGATATATTTTGAAATACACTTTTCTTTTCATTTTCCCTTTTATTAACAAAAAACAAAAAAAAAGGGCAATTTTTTCAAGTAAATACTTTGAAAAACCAGAAATACTTGCTTAAAAGCTTTTTTTGGAAATGAATCACAAAAATTATAAAAATATTACACAGTTATTTATTTTATTTATTTATTATTACTTTTGAAAAAAGTGAATCTGAGATTAAGAAAAAAAAATGCTGACAGATTCTTTATTGAAATTAATTGTTGTTGGCATTTTAAAAATTAACATCTTTAGAAATCCACATTTGCTAACTTCCTGTCAGTAGGATAAGCCTAATATAATGTAGCGTTGATAGGACTAATTTTAAATTTTGAGCATTTTGATATTTGCATTGGAATAGTGCTTTTTATAATTTGAAGTGAGATTTCTTAATGACAAACAAAATATTCTATACATTAGTAAATTTTATATAATAAAGGAATTACCTAGATATAACTTAACAAAATGCATTTTAAAATAATAACTCTGAATACATTTACAAGTGTACGAAAAGAAAATAACATCTGGCACAAAAAATTTAAATAATGGATTACAAAAAAAAGAAAAGAAAAGAAACCTACTTGAATATCTTGCAAGCGAGCTTCGTGATCTTTCTCCTTAGAAATAAGATCATGCCTTTTATTCTGAGCTTCTAAGGAATTAATAAATGCTATTTCATTCACCTAGATGAGTGACATGAGTTGCAATAAGAATTTATAAAAGAAACAAGAAAATACAATCAGTCATTAGATGTTTGTAATCACCTTATTTATCAATTTTACATTATACATAACAGAAAAAATATAATAAGAATTTTATGAAAAATTTATGTAAAAAACTAATTTAACAATAATCAGAATGAAAAAAAATTTAAGTATACAAAGTTAACAAAAATAAATGAGCCAGTTTAAAAAAAATTTTTTATCTTAAAATTATTTCAAACATTATAATTAGTGACATGTGGAAATAAATAACAGAATAATAGTTACCAATAGTTAATAGTTTAATAGTTACTAAATGGAAACTTTCATAATGCGATAAAAATTTAATTTGTAAACCAACTCATTTGATACATTTTGTTGATTTATATGGTTACACTCATTCACATGGCCATCAAAATCTCCAGATCGGGTCGTGTTATATTTTGCAAGATTACTACTGTAAAATAGAACAGCACAATTAGATTCTCTAAAACATATATAGATTATTATTTTCAGTGAAAAATCCTCACCCGCATAAATTTGATCTTATTGACTTCAAAATTGTATTAATAACAAAATAACTTGTTAATCAAAATAAATGTTTAATAACCACAATATTCTTTTTAAAAAAATTAATGAGCTCAACCCTTTAGCTCAAAAAATAAAAATTATTAATTAAAAAACTATAATTTGGAGAGAAAACTAATTATTGTTTGGAAATATGCTAATATACTTAGTTTTATCCAATCTGGTCAGATAAAACAGGGGGCTGCGCCGTTGGCGATTCTGAGCTTTGCTGGTATCGGCAAACTTGTTTATAGCTCACTTTCACTTTGCTCTCTTGCTCATCGTTTTTCGTTTTATAAGCTTTTATTATCGATCAGATTATTAAATATTATTATATGGTTAATTCTAAACATATTTTGGAATATCAAGATAAATTCGGAATCATTTTATGGATCAACTGTTTTTGTTATTTTAGTTTTCAATAGAAACCGTTCTTATTGTTTATGAGCTATTTCATTCAGTTACATTAATTATTACCTATCCATAATTACTGATTAAAGTAGGTTGGACCCTCCGCAGGATATAAAAGCATTGGGACAGGGAAATATTTTTCCTACAAAAAATATTAAATATGTATTATTTATAGCAACCAATTAATACTATGTCCCTCCTATACTAAGAAATTTACTAAATAGGGTTTTAAAAAATGAAGGAGCATAAGGAATATAGCATAAGTTAGTAGATTAGATTTAATAATAGAAATTACAAACAAAACTTTGGTCATGTTTCACTGCAATGTTAAAAATCATCAGTTGGTAATTGGGAAATTGAATAGTGATTTTTCTTTAAATGAAAAACAAAGCTATGGAACAATTTATAATAAAACAATAATGAAAATTTCAAAAAAATAATATCCTTCTATTGAGAAATAAATGGTTTATCTAATTTTTGTAAACATTTTGAATTTCTTTTTTTCTAGAAAAACTCTATTAAGATAGTAATGACAAAGACTGCTGTTCAAATAATAAAATGTTATTTTGATGAAAAGTTAAAAACTTATTAAACTCAAACTGACTTTTTCTTCTTCATCATGAGCCTTTCTTATAATTCTCTGCAGTTCTTTCTTACGCTTTTCATTAGCTTTTTGAAGTTTTTGCTCCATTATAATACGCTGCTTTTCTTGTCTCTCCTCAATAAGAGCTTTCATTTCAAGCCGCTAAAAAGAAAACAAAAAAGATTAATTGAAAATTTGTCTTTATTAATGAACTAGCAAAAGTAACAAAGGAAACATAAATAACTAGCAAATAGAACTACTCTTAAAGGAAGCTAAATTTCGTACAATAACACAATTTTATTTTATGAAGAACAACAAATACCAAACAAGAATCATTCTAAAAGGTAGAATAATGCAAAAAAATTATTCATAATATAAACTAAAATAAGTTTGCAACTACAAATGAAAGTTGAAAACCACAAAAAATTTGCAAATCGATTATTATTTTTTTTAAAAAAAAAAGAATATCAGAATATGTTGATAAATTAAATTTTCCAACCAGTTTCATACAAATTAAAAATGGTGTGGAAGATACAAATTAAATATTACTCCACCTTAATAAATAATCAAATCACGATTCTATAAATGAGATCAAATACTGTTATAAAATCTACAAATAGTAATTATTCTTGAATCTTTTATTACATAGTTCTAATTTTCCAAATTTCATTTTCTAAAAAGCAATAATTCAGCTCAACACGTATTTTTTCAATAAATAAAAATTCGAAAAATGTCAGAAAAATTCATGTTTTAATTTTTGAAATAAAAAAAAAATGGTATTTTTGGGTTAACCAGGCACAAGGAAATTCAATCTTTTTGTTTATTTTATTTAATTTGTACGTGTCTAAAAAATACATAAAATAAAAATAATTTTAAAAAAAGTTGGTGAAGGTCTACATTTTTTGGTGACTTTTCGTTTACGAGTACCGAAAAGTATCAAAAAGTCTGCAAACTGTCCTCAATTAAAGTACTTTAAATTACGAAAAGGTTGATGGAAAATGATAATTGATGCACGCAATTAAAAAACGTTTCAAAAATCAAGATTCTTTCACTATATATTAATATATAATGAAAAAAAAGTAAATAATCAATCGATCGGTTAATCAACACATTAATATATACAAAACTGAGAGACTTATGATGATCACAAAAATAATTATAATTTTACCATTGTTTTTCGTAATTCTAAATGACTTAACGTTTAGATCAAGTTGAACGCATTTCAGAGATTCAACCATCAAAGTAAGATTTAATTATACCCAGTGTTATTCAGCAAGGAAAATAATTCTATTGAAAGCAGCTAACTCTTGATCGTCAAAAATTATCCCAATCAAACCATTTTCCCGAAAAGTTTGCACTTAGTGCGTAACTTAATGTTTCTTATTTAAATTAAATTGATCTTGCCTTATTTAGAAAACATTTGATGAACACGTTAGAATAGAAACACGTTTAAATTCGTATCCATTTGTAAACAAAGTAAACTAGTGGTTTCAGATACCTTTAAAAAATTCAAAGACTTTGATTTAAGTTTTAACATGTCATCCAAATATTTCTTACTTGATCTTACCTGATTTAACGAGTAGACAATAGTTAGTTATAAAAGAACGTATAATAAACTCCCAGTGTATCTCGTTTTTGATTCAATAGAGATATATGCTAACAAATGATATTAATGTTATCACGTAAATGATTGAGGGAATAAAAATAAAACAATTTACAGCTTAATTTGTAACAAAACATAATCGCAAACTAATAAAAAAATAAAATTTAAAAAAAAAACGTTTTTCTCCACTCAAACACATTAGCTGAAATTTTTGAACAATTATTCAAATCGGGTCGAGTGCTAATAATACCCCTTAAACCTGCAGTCCAATTTTCAGGACCAGTTAGTTCTAAAACGATTCTGTAAATATAAGAGAAACACGCACAGATTCTTTCTTTTACTGTCGAGTTATTTATATAGCAATTCAACCACACTGTACACAGGGGTCTGTCTAGGTTTTTCTGAGAGGTACCTATTTTGTGAAAATTTAGACATAATTTGTGAAAAATTTAAAACTATATTAAGAAATCAACACAAAAATATGGATTTATCGTTTCTTTAGGGATACAAAAATAAAATTTTAAGAAAAAGTATTTTGTGAAACTACCGTTTTTCCTAAAATTGAATTTGTGAAGGTACCGCTAAACGGTAGTAAATTCGGCCTGGACAGACCCCTGGTACAATAATACACAAATTCTCTGTTGCTAATTTGTGCAATCATTGAGTCATTCTTATTTATATTTATTTTATTTAGTTTTTAATTTTATTTTTAATATAATTTATTTTAACTCGTTCTAAATAAAAAGACTCGCGCTATTAAATGACGAATAATAAATAAAAAAAATAAACATTATTACTTACGGCACTAAAACGAAATTATTGAAGTAGATTTGAATTCAAAATAATAAAAAATTCCATCATTTAAGTAAATTAATTATTTGGTGGCGTATCAGAAACGAAACATATTAGAGTTGAGATTTAACTGATCTGTATTTCCATTAACGCACAGCATTGGAGAGCTGGAATAAAAACTGTCGCTCTTATTTTCAGCAATATAAACCATTAAAGTTCTAATAGTCGTCATATTTTTTTTAAATTTTGGTTTCGAAACAATTACTTTAAATTTTGAAAAATCTAAAGAAAACAATGAAATTTCGTCGCTTTTCCTTAAACCGTTTTTTCTCGTTACTTATCGGAAACATATTAAAAATGAAATTAAAGAATTAGAAATGAATAGCGGTTACATATTAGAAATGAAAAAAAAATATGAAGTTAATATGAAATTTAAGGGCTCTTTATTTCCAAAAGCGCACGGCATTAATACCTAATGTAAATGAAATTTAATCAATTGGGTAAAATTTCTTTTCCTTATTTTTTGGCGATACATCAGAAACGAAATAAATTGGATTAAAAAGATACTTAACATAATGTATTGCAGAGGATATAAATGTAGAAGATATAAGAGGATGCCTGTTTAATTTTTATTATCCGATAAAACAATTTTATCGCGAGTACGGGGAATTGAAAATGATAAATAAGGCATCGTCAAAAAATATCAATACAATGTTAAAAATAGGTTCGTTGCCTTTCACCAGAGCAAGTAAATTCAACTTTTTCATTTATGTATTTGTATTTTCTCTAAAAAAAAAAATTCAACACCCCAAAAAAATATAAACGAAGTTTAATTTATTTACCCCCGTTTACTTGCGACACTTTTAGACCAATAAAAATAAGATTTTACTCATATTGTATGGTTTAACAAATATGAACGGCGATTTCAAGAATTAAATTACGATATCCGTAAATAAGCTTAAAAATTATTTAAGCCAGTGAACTGGCATACAAACACACCAATTTCCACAGAAAAAAAAATATTTTAACAAGTGTTCAACATGCTTCTCAAACTTTTAAAGCTTTATTAAACCTCACTAATGAAATTCACAGGACCGCAAAATTTAGACAGACCAAAATGGTTAATTTAGTTTGGCTCGTATTTTCCGATGAAAATAAACTAATTAATATCTTTGTTAGAGTGTAGAATAAGGTGCCCTTTGCATTGGACACTGTACAGTGAAAATTTCACTGTATAAAAAATCTTCTATTTTACGATTATTTCTATCTCGATTATTTAATTATTAGAAAATCTCACTTTCAAATTATATTTTCCCTGTCATATGTAAGTATATAAAAAATCGCTAAAATGCAATGGGCACCAGATCGTTAACTTTTACCAATTTCTTTCAAAAAGAATTCAAGATTAGTTTGAATTTCTGTGACTAAATTAACTTAATCTTCGCACTGTAAACTGAAGTACATAAGTAATTATAGCATACTACAAAAAAAAATACCTTACTCTTTTTTCATATTTTTACGCATTTCCAGCATTATTTTTTTTAAAGTGAAACAATATCCAAAAAGAATATAAAATCCACTTAAGAAAAGTACTTTTAAAATAGAAGTTAAATAGTAATAGTAATACCTCGACTTTTGAGTGAAATAAGTTAAATAGTACTTATATGCTCTCAAAAGGTACACCAATTCACTAAAAGACTTACTTTAGTATATTCTTCCATGTTGTTTGCAAGAGCTGAAACATTCAACTTATTGTCTTTGTTGCCAGTCACTATTATTTGTTCTCATAAAATTTTTAAAGCAAATTTAAAATCATTTCTTGTCATTTGAACATTAAAATTTGAACGAATGATATTATAGGTTGAACAATTGTGACGTCAGCACAACGAATTTTAGAAATTTCCCCCATGTTCATCTATGCACAATCTGCAGACAGAGCACTCTCTTAGTTTGATTTATAACCATGAAGGATGGACTTCTATCACTACTCCATTTTACCCATTTCCCCTTTACATTCGGGTCACTTTTATATATTTTCTCACATACCTAAATTTCTTAAAACTAATGCAGTAGTTTTCATAGTTTTTCCCAATTACAATTGATGGGAAGAGAGTTAGTGGACATGTTTTTCACAAACAATTTTCATTTAAAATATATATATATATTTACGTACCAAACAATAAATACCAAATGAATTTTCTCAAGAAATTTTTTAATTCTTATAAAATGCAATAAGTTTTATTTTTACAAATTCTAAAACTCCTTTTCAAAAAAAAAATTTTTTTTTTTGGTTGCTTCAGAGAAAACAAAATACTATATTGATGATTTCCTTCTTTTTTCCCCCTTGATTATCTAATTTCATTCATTAGTGAAACTTTAAAGTGCTTGAATGAAAGAATATTCCATGAAATGAAATAAAAATATATAAACATACAACCCACCTTTTTTTCAATTATTTTGAATTTTTGGGCCTTTTCATCAAGTAAACGTTCTCGCTGTTCTTGAGCTTTTACTTGCTTTTCCTTGCATAAACGGATTGATTCAAAAAGTGACCTACAAGAATAAAATGCTTTTTTAAGTTTTGTAATCTCTATTAATCGATTACTTTTCCCTCAATTTTTATTCATAAACTTACTTTTTGCGAAAAGGAGATGACAATTTTTCATGCATTTCCAAAGCTCTGCCCGGTGTTCTCAGCTCCATATCAAACAAATCCATTTGTTCTCCCCAGGACAGTTCTAATTTACGAACTTGCTGTTCTAAAACTGAAACAAGATTATGCTTGAAATTACAGAATCTACAAACAAATTAATGATTTATGAAGATTAAAGGGGCCAAATAAAAATATAATAAATAAAAAATTAACAAAAATCAAATCATTTTGAAAGGAATTCACTTCATTTAAATTCCCTTTAAATATTATTGAAGCAAAAACTTATGTTAGTGTCCTTTATCAGTTTAATAAAAAAATTGTATACATTTTTTATTATGTTTAGTGAATAAGAGTATAAATTTATTTATAACTTCTAAATACATTTATTTTTAGTTATAAATGAATTTTTAGTAAAACTAAAGATTAAAATCTGAAGAAGGTGTTTATTAACGTTCATCAAATTTTTTAGTGCATATAAATAAAACATTAAAGCAAAGAACAATCACACTTAAAACCTAATCTGATAAAGATCGCAAAGGATGAAGAAGCGTATGAACTAATTAGCCTTTTCACATGGGCTCAAAAAGAAGGTATCCAGTTCTTCTGAGGGAGCTCTTTTTACTACTGGGAGGGGGGTAAAAAGAGTAAAATAAAAATTAAACCTGATTTAACTTTACTTACAGTTTGGGTACAATGGATTAACAGTGGATTCTACAATAAAACATTCCTTTAAAACAGCAAAAAGAATTCTAGTAAGTTTCTTAAAGGTTATTAATAAGTAAAAAAAATTACTTTTATATTTCCAAGCTGTGTCACAAAGTTCTTGACATTGAACATCAAACTCATCATGTGACATCTGTTAGGCAAAAAAAACATAACAACATGAAACCAAATTATATGTGGATAATATATGCAAGCAGATTTATTTCTTATGTGTGAAGCTTAGACTACACAAATAATATAACAATTTATAAAAAAAAATGTTAAAACAAAATAAGCAAAACTTGGTATAATAAACAATTTTATAAATCTTTATAATATTAAGCATTTCTTTTTCAAATAAAATAAGTAGAGCAATTTTTATTTTACTAACTTACTTAATTATTTTTTTTATGGAAAAAAAAGAAAAAAACTTTATCAATTTAGAGAAAAATGTCTTAAAAAAATTGATTGATTACGTATAGAAAATTTATTAAATCACGAATTTCAAGAATATTAAAGCACAATAAAAAATTCGTTAGAAGTATAACACTTCCCTATAAAATTAGCAAAGGTAAGTTCACATTTCAGGAAAACATAGTGATACCTGATCAATAAAGCTGTTAGTAACATTATTTGTTTAAATATATAATAGATGAAATATAATTTACAATAATCACCATTTTGCACAAGTTTTTTTTGTAATAAATTACAAAAATAAAAACTACGCACTAATAGCATTTTTCATAACTTTTTTTTAATGATACTAAGAAGAATTTTATTAAGTCAATATACAAATTCTTATTTAGAATGAACAGTATTTATTTATCAGGAACTAAAATTGTTATTCAGAGGTCAGTTTTGAAATTAAACTAAAATTTTTAGAACTGATACATCAGTTATGTTATATTATAACATTTTTAAATATCTACATTTTTCAGGTTAATAAGAAAGATTCAAGTCAATATGCACATTTGTTTGTAGTGCGATTATTAACAATCTATTTAGAAACAGAATAGTAGAATTTAGAGGTACAAGAGCTGCTAAGTTTTGAAAAAATTTGCAAAGTCTTAAAAAAAAGTTTTTAAAAAAATATTTAATTTTTTCAAAAATTCAGTTTATTTTATTTAAACATTTTTCTTAAAAAATTTTTTAATTTATTTTTGGAATAGTATAAATGCATTAGTGTATTTCTGCTGTAGTTAATATTATTTTGTTTGATATTAGTGTTTGTTGAGGATGTAACACAGTAGTTCAGAAAGTTTTTTGTCTCATATAACTCTGTCCAGACATTAGTTTCTCATTGAAACAATTTTTGCAGTACATTAAAATTAATTGTGTATCAAGTGTGTCAACAAAATGTGTAACAGTATCTATAACAACTGCAATTTTTGAAGCATTGCTTTTTTATGCTAATAAATACTGATACTATAGAGGCAAAATATTCATTTACTGCAGCAAATAGAAAAAAATTCAATTTTCATAAGATGTATGTACATAACAAATATCTTTAAATTAATTTTGATAACCAATGGAATGATGCAGCAAAGCATAATGAATTATTTAAAGACTAATTAACCATATTATTGAAGAAAAATACTACTAGAAGTCAATGAAAATGCTGAATGTTTGAAACTGTTTTCATGGTTCTTTTTGGATATTTTCAAATTTGTGCTTGTTTCACTTATTCATAGGATTTCATAGGATACTCTTTAAAATGAAGTTCTAAAATATGGAATGAACACATCCTGTGAAATCTTTGATTTAAACATATTTCATTCAATTTACATATTTATAGGATTTGATATATAGACATTTCAATGTTCTTTGGAAATAAATAATAGAATTTCCCTACTTCACGAATATCTGTATTTGGAGAAATGAGGGTTTTAAGTTCTTGATTCTAAAATAAACTTGTAAAATAATAAAAAAATAAAAGAAAAAGATTGAAAAATTAAAAAATTAAACATTGCTGGTAGGTCTTTGTTGATAAAACACATATCCCTTTTGCATTAAGCATAATCAAACTACCCAACTTACAACTCAGTTTGTTTCAGTATATAATAAGCCATGTGAGAAAAAATTTTTTATTCAAAAATTTTTAAACATGTATGTTAAAGCAAGCATGCTTATTATTGCTTACCAGTTTTCAGTTCCTTGTAACCAGTGCAAAAAATAATTTTTTGCACTGGTTACATGGTTTTGCACTGTTATGTTTTATCTGTTTTGTTTCTGATAATGTAAAAGATTATATTAATACTCAAAGAATATTATAATAAAATAATCTTATAAAATAAACTTATAAAATAACAAAAAAATACAAGAAAAAGATTGAAAAATTAAAAAATAAAACATTGCTGATAGGTCTTTGTTGATAAAACACATATCCTTTTTGCATTAATTATGAGGCATAATCAAACTACCCAACTTATAACTCAGTTTGTTTCAGTATATAACAAGCCAAGTGAGAAATAAATTTTTATTCAAAAATTTTAAACATGTATGTTAAAGCAAGCATGCTTATTATTGCTTTCCAGTTTTCAGTTCCTTGTAAGCAGTGCAAAACATAAATTTTTGCACTGGTTACAAGGCTTTGCACTGTTATGTTTTATCTGTTTTGATTCTGATAATGAAGAAGATTATATTATTACTCAAAGAATATTATAATATCACGGCAAACATAATTCAACAGAACATTCAATATTAAGCTTATAAATTAATTATCACAGAAATCAAAACAGTGGTTAGAAAGTAATAAATTATGCTTCTTTATGAGAGTTATATTTAATTGAATGTACACAAGAGTTATATTTAATTGAATGTACACAAGAGTTAAATGCTGCTATGCTGTATCTCACACAATATAAATGACAACATACATTGTTTGGTGCATAAAATCACAAAAAATAACAAGAAAGTAATAGAGAACAGAAGGTTTTGGAATGGTACTCAACTAAAGAAGATAAACATATGTTTGTTTGATAAAAAAAAAGTGTAACAAGCACAAAAAATAAACAAAATAATATTAAAGGTTAGAAGAAAATAACAATCTTTTATTGATATTTAATTAAAAAAAATAAAACTTTTGAGAGACATTTTTTTAAAGATAAAATTAGCAGAACTATTGAAATATTATGGGGACCGGAAAGTAATGTCATTTCAGTGCATTTAATATTCGTTAGTCTTAAAAACCTATTCTTTTTTTATTCAATCCGGCATTGAAAGGTTGTTGCTAATGAGGGTAAATGCATTATTGATTAAAAATAAAATCTTCATAACAAATATCAAATGCATCGAAAGAACATTACTTTCCGGTCCCCCTAATATAAGGAAATTATAAAAAAACTTACTGTTCCATCTTGATCATCAGAGCCCCCACCAGTATCATTTTCATCGCTACTTCCATTCAACGAGCTTGCACCAGGCAGACATTTCTTAGATTTTTTCTTCATTAAATTAATCTTTCTTTCAGATAGTTTTTTCTTAAAAATATTTATGTTAATGTACTTCTGGCTTGCCAAAGACTGATCACTCAGACAAAGAGTTTTTGAGAGTCTATGATCAGACATATCCAGTTCAGAATGCAGATTTGGTGAACTAGAAGATCTTGTCAAACAGTACTTATCACCATTGATTTTGCGAGCTATCGTCCTGTCCAAGCTCAGAGGCTTGTTTTTGATCTCATTCAACCAAATTTCAAAACGCATGTTAACAGAAGCAATCTTATCTTTTAATCCAGCTTGAGGAATACCTGCTTTGTTTGATGTCTCTAATAAACTATGAGATTTTAATGTCTTATCACTCTTGTTAGAGTCAGTATTATTCTTTGTTTCTATTGGTGGTTTCTTATCATTTTTAGCTTCTCTATTTTCTTGCTTTAACACTTTTTTGGATGCTTCGGACTTTGCTGGTGTTTTTGTAGATGTTTTCACATTGCTTTTGTTAGTATAAGGAAATCCGCCTATTCTAGATTGGTTAAGTTTAGCGATTTGGACAGCTTGTATTTCTTGGTTTTTGGAGGCGAAAGGTATTTTCTTGGCTGGTGAGTTTCGACTCCTGTTACGCCCACGCACCATTTCCCATCCATCAGAATCATCTGTAAAAGACCATAACCATAATGTTAATAGATATTTTTTAATACTATTAGCACACAAATTAAAATGCAAAAAATAATTTAAAATTAAATTGTACATTAAAAGTATAATTATTTAATTGCTGCTTAAGAATTAGCAACAATTTGTAATCAATATATAGATGCATAGATAACAGATTATCTTCATTATGTTTCAAAAATAAATATTAACTGTACTAGAACGTTATGTCAAAGTTTATTAAAAAAAAGTAATGATGTTTAGATTCTAAAATATTAAATTTTGAATAATTATATATTTTAGCAAAATAATTTGATATGATGCAGAATATTAAAAAATATTACCTAAAAAATCAGTAAAAATCAAAACTCTTACTTAGTGCATCATGTTCTTAGTGTTCATGTAAAAAAAATTTTAAAAAAATTTCAGAATTTTTTTTTTTCTTGGAAGCATGTACTTAAAATTAATATTGAGGGAATCTCCATGCAAGGGGTTATTATATAATTTCATGCCACATACTCAGATATTTGAATCAAAAAGTAAATAACTTTTATTCCTGGATATAATAAGATCTCATCAAGAAAAGCATAAAACACTTTCAAACTAGCTACTGATACGGGGATTTAACCAGTTACTAAAAAAATTTATTAAATTAATCGCAAGTAGTAACATTCGATGTCTTTAGTATTTTTTAAACCGCCATTAACCTTTTGTAATGCAAATTATTTATTAATTATAATTGTTTTTTATTTAATTAAATTTGAATAAGTAAGCTTATAAAAAATAGAGAAATAGTTATGTTGCACATAAAAATACACAACATTTAACTAGTTAAATATTTAAATTAGTGTTTTATTTGTAAGTAAATCAAAGCTAGGTTTAACTTTTTGTATATATTGGACAAAATAAAAAAATTGTAAGCAACAAAAATAATAGAAATAACGAATTTAAAACAAAATTATATATTAATATCAAAAGAAACCTGATTATGAAACTTTTGTTGAAAACTGATTCATTGATAATAGGATGATTTTTGCATTAAAGTTTTTTTTAAAAAAGTTTTCTTTGGAATAAAAAAAAAGTAAATGAAGTTTCAATTGCTATATTGAAATGGACAATCCATATTGGAAATTAATTTGAAAGTTAAAACAATATTGAACCTATAGAATAGTAAATAGGATGTGTTAGTCATTAGAATAGTAGGATTGTTGCAATGGGGTGAGAAGGTCATATTAAAATGCGTAGACTGTATAAATGTATTAAAAAATACATCAAATTTAGAAATTGTAAATAAAATCCTAACACAAAAGAGTTACATGGGCAATAAGGGTATAGATATTATTTGTATGCAACTTACATATTAAGTCAAAATAAATTAATAATCACAAGAAAAATTGTATTTACCATCAGTTTTCGATTTAACAGCTTCTGGAATTTTTTCTACACTTAATGTTTTCCGAACAAGCATTTGCGTGCCAACTGTTTTATTTAGAGATATCATAGAGCCACTCTTTTGAGTAAGTCTTAATGTGCTAGGACGAACAGGCTTCTTTGTATCATTAATAATTTTTTCCTTTTGATTTCTTGAACTCAGGGTGGACACATACGATATATTTCTCTGTATAGCTGATTCTGCACTTTTAGGTTTAACAGGCTTTTTCTTATCGATAATATTATCACATTTATCATCATTATTCTTTACACAACTGGATCTAGCAGATTCAGACTTCACCACGGAATTGAAACTCTTCACAGGTTGTTTTATGTTATCAATAGAAGAAATTTTGGTATTATTTAATGATGGTTTTGGGCCACTCATTTTCTTGACTTCTTGTTCTTTTGATAGTATAGAGCACACAGATTCTTTGCAAGCATTAGGATTGATTTTAGAAGCATTAGAAGATGTGGAAGTTTCAACAGGAATGCTTTCTTGCACAGAATTTTTTCCACCGTTAGCCCCATTTTGCCTATTCTTATTAGTGACCATTTTATCTTTTACAGAACCAGGTGCTGCTGAAGTTGTCTTTCTTGACAAAACTTTTAAATCAGCTTTGTTTGAGACTACTTTATTTGTAGTAACAGAATCCCCTATCAAGCTTCGACTTCTTTTAAGCAATATGCTTGGATCTGACACTTGTGATTTTGATTCGCAAAATGATTTTTCTTTATGAATCACATTTTTAATAGTAGAATTTTGATTTGAATCAACTTTTTGAATTGAAGGATCTTGTTTTGAATTGATTTTCTTAAATGAAGAATTTAGTTTTAAATCATTTTTACAAATTGAGGAATCTTGTTTTGAAATGATTTTTTGAGTTGCAGAATCTTTCCTTGAACTGATCTTTTCAGATGCAGAATCTTTTCTTGAACTGATCTTTTCAGATGCAGAATCTTGTGGATAATTGGTTTTTTGAGCTGAATAATTGTCTTTTGAAATTACTTTTTCAGCTGCAGAATTTTCATTTAAATTGATTGTTTGAGTTGCAGTACTTTCTTTTAAATTAATTTTTTGTATAGCCGTTTCTTTAACTGAATTAAGTTTTGTAGCTGCAGAATGTTCAATGGAGCTGATTTTTTCAGTGACTGAATCACCCTTTAAATTGGTTGTTTCTTCATCTAAGATGGCCAAACTTTTGTTAGACACATTAGCTCCAGAAACAGATTCAGAGAACAATTTATGTTTCACATCAGAACACAATTCCACATTAGAATAAGATTTCTTAATGCTAATTGTTGAGGAAGGTATCTCTGACTTTTCACCACGCACCTCATTCACAATTAAATCCTTATTGCATGGAAAATTGGGATCCACTGACTCAGGTATGACAGATATCTGAATGTCACAATCATTTTTTGTTTCATGTGAGAGATCAAGAGGTTTGATTTCATCTAATTTGGTCTCAAAATCACTCTGCTGAAAACCAAAACTGAAACCCATAGAGTTAGCCTTTTCTGGTAGTATTAGAATGCTTTCTACTTTAGGGCTTGAAGTGAAATCACTAAATTTGAAAGAAAATTAGAAAAAATAACATTAAAACTGGAACTGCAAAAAAACAATGATCATTTATTACTGAAAATAGACATTTCTTGTGCATAGCAGCTGAATAACTAATTTTATGTACTAAATGTTAAATAATAACTTAAAAATATGCAACTTGAGTTCTTTTGTATTAAATAGATTGTAAATGGGGATCTGGTGAATTTAATTCAGCATTTTAACTGATGATCCATTTAATCGTAGATAACTTAACATTCACCTTATGGACTACCTGATTTATGCATAACCCTTTAACATCTTCAAAGACGGCAATAACTTAATTTAATCACACTTCTATATTTAGATAAAAATGCAAGAGTATTTCTTTTAATCCATTTTACTTTTACTTTTTTTTTTACATAAATACAGGATGTGTAAAAATGGGTATGTTTTCATTTCAATGTCAATGGGTCAAATGACTCAATGGGTCAATGTTCATAGTCAATGGGTCAAATGACTAGCTACAGGGTAACACTGACTTTAAGTTATCTAGAGTTAAATGAACTATTACAAATGCTACTGAGCCTTGTTTAGTCATTGAATACAAAGGAAGGATAAAACAGATGCAATTCTAGTATGCGCAAACTGATAACTCATACAAGTATTGTAAATGTTAATAAAACCATATGAAAATTTCTGTTACACTCAACTTTTTACATTAAATAGCAGGAGATGAAAGAAGTTTTTGCATCAGTAATAACATCTCCAATTCATTAAAAAAAAAAACTNAAAAAAAAAAAAAAAAAAACTCCTACTATGATGATTCTCATATGTTATTAAAAAAACTGTCTTTCCTCCTAACTTAAAAATTGCAGCTGTTGCTAAAGTGGAAATATTCTCTTAAACTAAGAAAAGAAGAAAAAATAGTTTAAATTCAATGCATATTTCCTATTTCTCTTACTCTTTGCTCATATACATATATATAAAAAGCCAGAATATAGTTTGTGTAAAGTAAGAACTCCCCTAACCATTTGTCTGGACCTATGGCAGTGGCTATGGTAATGAGGTATAACTATTTCAAGTAGGGGTGTGGGGTCACTGTTTATAAAAGATTCTAGCTGGGGTCGGAGAGAGAAAGGAAATATTTGTCTTCGTTCTAATGTGTTAGCCCTAGAGTGAAGAGAAGCGCTACTCTCCCTGAAAGGCGCTATTCTTGTTTCCATAGCAGCAAACGGCCTCAGACTATGTGGCAAGGAGAGTTCATAGTGTAGACAAACTGTACAATAGTCAGTTGAAAATATTATATCTCACTTAGTTGTCTCAAAACAAAGAAGTCTCTTAGCTTTGCTCCCAGCAGTGAGCTTCTCAATGAAGACATTCTTCAACAGTGATTTGCCAGGAGAAGATTTCCTCACTTCCCAAGCTAAAGATGTTGGCCTGTAAAAGAACACCACCATTAGAGAAAAGCAAATATAGCAAGTAAAATTAATTTTAAAAAATGAACTATAACGTAACAGCAATTATATTTTCTAGGAAACAATAGTTGAATTGATAATAATTTCACAAACATACTACTTATCTCAACAAAAGAACAGTAATACATCATATTGACAACCATGTAGGCAATGCAATGAATAGTTATTTGGCTGGAGGGCAAATACTGAATTTTCAGCCAAAAGAAAAACTGTATATTTAGCCCTACAGCCATCAAATAATTCTTTATGCAAACTTATATAAAATCAAATCTAAAAAACTAAGTATTACTAAAATGTAATAAGGTATAAAATCTACTCTGCATTTTCATATATTTTATAACTCTAATATATTAAGCTAATTTTAATCTTATTAGTTTACATTAAAAAATTTAATTAATGAAGAAAAAGTTATTTTTTTTAAGAAAAGATCTGCTTTATTAGAAATTTGCATATAAGCTTTTAAATTAGTATCCCAGTTTGTAATAAGCAGATCTAACTAGTAATAAATTTAGTAGTTGAATAGTTTTGTAAATAGTTTTTACTGTTCTCAGTATATAGTTTTTACTGTTTTTGTATATAGTTTTTACTGTTCTAAATAGTATCGAAAAAGTTGCTTTTTACTGTTCTCAGAAAAACTATGCAATAATAAAACAAGCGATAATCAAAAAACAGTTGCTTTTTCTTATTTGATTTTAGGAAAAAATTAATTCATAAAATTGAGTAATCACACTGGTTTGGCCCAATTAATGCAATTCTGGTCACTTTTTATCGACAAATTAATGATAGGTGCATTCATATGCTTTTATTAATATGCTAAAATGAATTCAAAAGAACTATTTAGGCATGTAGAAAGTTCATCCAGGCATGTAATTTGTAGGCTAACATGCCCTACAGACCAAGTAAAAACTTTGAGATTTTTTAAACCTAGCAGACAGTAGGGTAAACCAACCAGTGAAGGAACACTACCCAGTAAAGGAACATTTCATATATATTGATTAAAAATAAGAATTTGAAAGTTTTTCTTTAGATTGATTGGTAACAATAGCTTACTGCCAAACAATAGGAAGTCATCTAGCAATGTTTTGGATTACCTGGTCAAATAGACTTCTCTGGAATAAATTTTGATTTTGTTATTATCTCTGCAACACCTTGTTTCTTTGAAAAAATTATAAGATGAGTGTTTGTATTTATATCTTTGAAGTGGAATTAATTGCATGTAATAGTTCTATTTTTCTCACTTTGAAAAAGAGAATTCAAAATATAGTTATTGAAGCTACATTTTATTTTTTTTAAGCATCATAGCATAATAAAGTACTGAGATAAGGGGGCGTTTATTCACTGGATCACCAAACGATGAAAAACCAGTGAAGGAACAAGTGTTCCTTTACTGGCTTTTTTTCTACGTTAATGAAAATAAAAGATAAACTTTAATTTTCTTGTACCTTTAGTGATGTTCCGCATCAAAAGTATGTTAAAAATACGAAAAACAACTTCTAACCAGTGAGGGAACAGGCATGTTCCTTTACTGGGCATAGATTTCCCAGTGAATGAACAGTATGTATTAATATCTTGACACTTTAATTTTCAATTCATGATTACAAAAAAAAGTTAACATTTTCCAAGTATTTATACGTTATAATTTCAAGAATAGGCTTGCTTTTAAATATTTGCATTGCTTATAAATTTATAAAGAGCATTAAAAAATAACCAAAATTAAGTGTTCCTTTACTGGGTGTTCATTCACTGGTAAGAGCTGTTCCTTCACTTGGTCTTCTTACTACTTGTTATTTGAGCCTCTAAAACTTTAAAACAATATTATGTAAGTTCTCTACAATTTTTTTTACATAATTTGCAATTAGTAACAAATATGTTGACACTGTCATTTAACTAAAATTGCGAATTTTGAAATTAATATGATTTTTTAAAAGGCAAGCGAAGCTTAAGTGTTCCTTCACTGGTTCGTTTACCCTATATCAAAGTTTCTTAAAATATAACATTTACCTATTGGGTGGATCAGTCTTCTCATAATCTTTATTTATATTGATATATTGAATGAGGGCATGGAAGTCTTTACTATAATTTTCAAGCATCATTATAGCTTCCTGTTTAAACAGAAAACAAATATTTTATAAGCAAACGAACAAACATTTTACGCACACAAAATATCCCTTTAAATTTCAAAAACTATTCATTCAAAAAATAAAAATCACTGTTATCATAGAAAATATTTAAAAATCTTAAGAGAAAAAATACTTGAAAAGACAGATTTTATTATGAAAAGATAAAGCGAGCAAAACACAGAATGAAAGAAAATAAAACAATAATTATTTGTTATATTTTAGAAATAGACCGAAATTTAATTGAAAAAATACCTGTAAACTTTGTTGCACTTAATATCAGAACATTTTCCTGTTTTCTAATCACAGGTAGAATATCTTGAAATTTTATTTTAGATATGAATGGTTTTATTTTATTTTATCATTTTTTTTTTAAATTTAGATATTAATGGGTTTATTTTACATAACATTATATGGAAACCACATAATTTTAATGCAAGATATTTACCTTAAGTTTATTTAAAAAAATAGCAAACATGTGTCAAAAATAAAATTATAATTTCGAATTTCAATATTTTCTCCAACTGACATTTCATAAGATTTTTATAATTATAAAAAAACTTACTGTTTTAACATTTTTAAACATTAAACCTGTGAAATTAATTTTCATTTTCCATTAAATATTAAAATTACTCAGATAAATTCTATGAGTCAATAGAAAGAAATTTAAAATTCTTAGATTTAATAACTTAATTGTTGAGTTAAAAATTTCATACTTGTTAATCGATTTTGCATGCATAAAATCAATATTCACATAGAAAAGAGCTCCCTGACTAAGATCATCTCTTGACTAAGAGAAAAAAATTATCTGAAAAACAGATTTTATTATAAAAATATACAGTGACTGCGAGTGAAACACAGAATATTAAAAAAAAAATTTAAGAAAGAATGAAATAGTTGAGTTAAAGATAGTTTATAGTTGTTAGTCAATTTTGCATGAAAATGGATTTTTTATTGATAAAATATTATTATTACAATAATGAAGCATTTCTCCAATATCCATTATTTTAAAGTAATTTTGTAGTTATTTAATATCAGCTTATACACTGAATAACACTGCCAGATAGTTTAGTAATCAGCGTAACAAATCTGTAGCAAAAAAAAAAATAAATAACAATATTGTACAAAAATTGTCAATAAGAACATTAACTCCCACAAGAATCTTAAAAAAAAAAATTTTTAATGCATTTATTTAAACAATGATAAGTTGTTTCAAAAATAATAGTTTTAAAACAATGCAGCTTCATAATATTAATTAAGAAACAAAAAAGTGACACTATAACAGGCTATTTTCAAAGCATTTTAGCCAATAAAAAGAAAAAGATGCAGTTTAAGTGCCATAAACTTGAAGCAAAATTTTCCTTTTACACCTAACTAGTTATTTTACTCATAAGAACTTACTGCATTTGAAAGCGCATAAATATTTTAAATGCTTAAAAATTATTAAAGAGTTTAAAAAAAATTTATAAGATATTTCATCTATTGCCATTTAAATAAAATTTAATGATTTTTATTTTATTACTTGATTGATTCTTATCTGAATGGTGAAATTGTTATTTAGATAAAAATCATTAAAATCAATAACTAATTTTCAATTTCTGCACTTAAAGATATCATTCAGATTTTTTTTTATTGAATTGATAACTATTAATTTTTATAAAAATAAGTCTGAACAATGCAATGTTGAATTAGATTTTCAACTGCTTAAAAATTGACAAATACTTTTCGTTTTCAAAAAACTGTTTTTTATTTTATTGTATATATATATTTGATACTTTCATGATTAGCATTGACTTTTCCGGCTAGTTATGGACAAACCTTAATCTAATGGTTATGAATACGTATTGCAAACACTAAGTCATAAAAATAGCATATCATTCACTATAAAACATTCGACATCCCAAACGAGCCTTTCAAAGACAGCCATAATACAGTACAGAACCCATTATCCGGAAATCAGAACGAAATTTGATAAATTTTCCCGCCATTTTTTTTTCCTCATAAAATTTTAGGATTTTTCTTTCTTTTTTGAAAGATGTTTACCTTACCATCATTTTGGAAATAATTATTAGTGTATTACTTCAGCGTTTTTTCTTCTTTTTAAGATTATTTCCAAATATTTTTTTTATTTGGGTTTAACAAAAAAAAAAACAAAAAAAACAGCTTTTTGTAGCAATTCAGAAAACCGAAAAAATCAGTTATCCGGAATAGCGATGGTCCCGATTGTTCTGGATAATCGGTTCCCTACTGTAAATAACACAATCTTTAAAGTAAAATTACATGATAAAGGGAAAAAATGGATACCTTGCTTTCAACAATACTTTCATCCATTTCACAGGTCTGATATATTTCATCAACAGCCCGGTGCAAATTCTCAAACAAAAAAGTCCAATATCGGGCTCTCAGATCTTTCTCGGGATTTCTCCCAGCAGAAGCAGAGCGTAGCCTGCTCTTTGGACGAGACAGTGTAGTTCTTCGCTTACCAGTTCGATGCAAAAGATGAGCATTTATTCCTTTAGTTTCAACTGTTGGAGGTTTAGGAGACACAGACTGTGGTCTTGGAGATGAAGGTGGCTTTTTTGTCACTTTTGCATCTGTAAAAGTTTGATTAGTTAAAAGATAAACTTAATTAAAACTAAGAAAGGCATACAAAACATAAAAAATAACAAGGATTTTTATGGATGGAAGATGGAAAAATTGAAATAAAGTAACCTAGGCAGACGAAAGATATAAAATACAAAGTCCAAAATCCGGACATCCTTTTTTCAATAATTAAAATATAAACATTTTTTTCTCCTTTTTCAAAAAATAAAGACTTCTTTGTGTTGGCGATCTGTTAAAAAAAGTATAAGTAAGGAAAAATTATTATTGCTGCTTCTCTGAAATCTATTTAAATATTTATTTTGCATCAATAAACACACTAAAAGAGTTGTTGAAAAGACAAGAGCAGTTGAAAAACAACAAACTTTGGAGAGAATAATAATCTATAAATATTAATGAAGCTTATTTTAAATAGTGTTTGAAAAGAACACCAGTAAACTTTGTTTTGCGTTAAATTATAGATGCTTTTATTAAAAATCTACTCAATCCTATTACTTGATAATAAAAAAAATTTATTAAACAAGACTATTGAAATTTGTGGCTCCTCGCACATTGTAAAGAAAAAGGTGCAGCTCTATTTATAAAGGAAAAAGTTCAAATTATCCTCTGCTCACTTTAATTTAATCTTACATATATATATTTTATCATACTAAACATTCTAGTTTTTTGAATATCAATCAAACTATAAAAAAACGTTATTGTATGAAAATGACATTAATTATTCAACATTTTTTCTTATTTTTACTTAAATAACCAATGTTTTGATATTTGTTTACCTTACAGACTTCTGAACAAGAAAAATATTTTTTCCGAATTTTTTGAAGTACGGACAATTCTGGATATGGGATTTTTCACTATATTTAAATATTAATCGACACTAAAGGCTGGTCCCAAGAACTACGGAAGCTTGGATTTCCAGAAAAAAATTATTACTGAAAAGAATAAATAACACATCATTAACAACAATGCATACTTTTCAAAAAAATACTTTGAATAAATCATCAGAATCAAAAATTAATTTCTGCGAATCTGAAAAAATAATTTTAATACAATAATTATTTGTTAATTATATTTACCAGCAATAGATCCATCGGCAATAAAATTAAGTAAATTCCTAGCTTCAAGGCCTTCTTCTACTACTCTTCGAATTGTTTCTTGAGAAGCCTCCTATTTTTTTTTATAAAAAAAAAATGTTAATGAAACAGAGAAAGTCGTACAGTAGATCTTATAACTGATTAAGACTATCATGATTAATTTAAGATAATTAAATATGATGATAATCAAATCATAACAGGCTGAATTGAAGAAATATTTTTACTTCATAGACAAAAGTAGAAAATTCAATGACAATGTAAATATTTTTTCAATTACCAGAAGAATTATTTATGTAAATTTAGTATTATGAGCATATGCACAAATTATGAAATAAAATTCTAATCAACAAGTGGAGTGAGATATGCTGATAGTTGAAAATTGCATTTTGAGACAGTTCTTAGATAAAACTATAATGTCAGTTAACACTTAGCAAAATGTCAAAAAAATGCGAGTTATTAATTAAGGCTTTAAAAGAAAATTTTTCGAAGCTCCTTCACCAAGGAAAATATTTAAAAAAGTCACCGTTTAAACGCATACACTCCAGACAATATTTTCTCTTCTTTCTTTCTAAAAAGATTTTAAAAAATAAAAAAAAGATGACAGAAGAATGACTGCTTCTTTAGTACTGAAATAGCTTAACAATATTTTTAGTATGGATAAACCAAAAAATTTATATACTTTAAAAAATAGTGGTAAGATTTTTTTTTTTATTTGAAATTTGGAATTGAATACTGAATTGGAACTAAATGAGACAGGTGCAAGAAATTAGTATATTGAAGAAAAGTATAAAAAAGGTGAAAGAAATTAGTATATAAAAGGTGCCATTTTAACTCTTTCCCTTTTTAATCTCCAATTGTATTTAATTTCCAATTATTTCTGTGTCATAATATTCTTTTACATAAATATTTAAGCATTCTAGATTATGACTTTATAATTATTCTAGTACTAAATACTATTTTAATGTAAAATGTGACAGATTAAATAAAGAAAATAAAAAACAATTTTTTTATTATGATTACAAGATTTATTATGATACTGTCCATTCTATCCAATACCTTGAGTTTTCTTTCTAGCTAGCTTGACTCGACGATCTCAAAATTTTTGCTCTTTGCAAGCAAAAATTGGCCTAGATGATTTTTAATTCTAGTAAAGGTATTACTGCCTACAAAAATAATGAAAAGACTGGAAGATTGTTGTAGAAAACCCTTTCTCCTACCCCGTGAGGATGCGCTTCAAAATAGAACATTTTATTGACGTTTGAGAAGAAAAACGCAAAAGTAAATGTGACAGCCCGAACATCTTGCCGCAAGAACATGAGGTACCCATATCTCAATCTTTGAGATTAAATTTAGGTGTTCAAATAATCATGAATGGCCAAATTTGAAAAATTTACTCACATTTTATTATACACTGATTTGCATTAATGCCATTATTGAGTCTTCTTCATCTTTAACTAGCCTTTCAGAATGTGGTATATTTTCAACATCAAAATAGCTAGATTGAAAATCAGGTTTGGCACTGACGTTCAGTCAATACATACTTCTCTTCTATACACATTAGATAATTTTTTTTTTCTTGCTTGAATAGCATTTTTACCCTTTTAAAAATTAAAAAAAAAATATGCCAAAAATTAAGCTTTTCACTTTTAATTTTTGAAACGACAACAACTAAAAACAACTGCCTAGAATTAGTCACACATTTCCATAGATATGCCCCTCCGTGGCAGGATAGCAGCAACACGGCGACATTGTCGCAAAACATAACAGAGTTCTTGCAGAAAAATATTTCTTTTATAAAGTTTTTTTTTAAAAATTACTTTTCTTTTCTACAGAAATTTACACGTAATATTTGAATCATGCATTTAGATAATCACTTTTTGACACGCTCAATTTTTGCCAATAGTATCGTAAACCGAATTTTCAGGTGGCTTTTAAATATGCCGACATATTTCAAACAAAATGGAAAATTTGAATCGTGCATTTGAGTATTTACTTTTTACGGCAATAATTCTATCGAATTCTTGGCAGTTATTGCTATTGATTTCTTCATAGTTTTTAAATCCGATATTATTTAATACATTATTTATTACAACAACCTAATCTTGAAGCGAAACATGCATTTGAGGAGTCAGATTCATATTATTTTGTCGTCGATATCATACCTGCAATTTTCTACAGATTTCTTGATTTATAATTATTTCTTTTATCATGATGATTATTTACAAAATGGGAGGAAAAAAATAATTTGTGCGCTCCCCCTCCTCAACAAAATGGGATAATTTCTCCCATAATACTAGAATAAAAAATTATTACATGTTCAATTAAAAAAATAAATAAATAAAATTTGTAAACGCAGCGTTTTTGTTATTTTAAATTAGTAACATATATGCTTGTTATTATTAAAAGTATATTGCAGAAAGATATTAGTACTAGCTTAATGGAGAAGCTGGCTGTGAAAAAAAGACAATTAAGTCCTCTGCTATGTAGAATCCAACAACCCAAAAAAATGCCATTTACAAGTATCAAATACATGATTTTTGGAGAAGGAAAATAAAATATCAACTAAGTCTGATAAGTGCAAGAAATAATTACATTAATTTAGAGATCATAGGAATTTAAGCCATCATTCACTGTACCTAATTTATTGTTATTTTAGTTGAGTTTGCTTAAAATCCTAAGCACTTTAGAGTATGATTTTATGAATTCATGTTTTTATGAGGCTAAATAATGCTTAACAATGGATTAGGAAATAAAAAATCACCCTATTTGATGTGTTCCACATAATAAGAGACACAAATGACAGCGTTGAATGTGCTATGATTTTAATTTACAACTTACTCACGATGAATTGATTTTTCAATCGTGGCGAATTGATTTTTCAAATAGTAGGGGAGATTAGGGTGACTTGATCCCCTTGAAATTTTTTTTGCAATTTTTAATTTTTATTTTGAAAAAAAAAAGTTTTTAGTCAAATGTATTGAGTTGTTATTAAAGCCTCAACAATTTGCTATGCTGTAATATTTTATTTTACTTTTATAAAATCNAATAAGAAAATATTTTATAAATAATCAGGATCGTTATTATAACAGTAATTAACTAGCATTATAGTTATGTATAAGATATGATTAGTTGCTTGAAATTTTGTAAAATTTGAGAAAATTATTGAAATATATAACAAATTACTTTATAAGTGGGCTGATCTATCACTTATTCCTCAAACTGATTATGTAAGACAAGTATTCAGACTAAATATTGAAATATTACAGAAATGCATGTTCAAAAAACTTTTTTTATAAATAGAAAATTCGAACAATCAATCATACCTAATCCTTTTTCAAAAGATTATCAATATAAGTATATAAATGATGCAATCTCTTACCTCTTGTTCTGATGTTGAAATGGAATTCTTTATTTCAGTAACAGATGCCATTTTCTAACATATATATGTGAAGATTAACATTGAAATAAAACTGAAAAGAAAACAGTTAAATATTAAACTTTAATATTTAGCCTACTTTTTTTAAAATCTTTTATATTTATAGATTAAAAATCCTTTTATAAATGCAGACCACACGTTTTAATTAATAAAATTATTTAATTACTACTATCCTCTTATTTTCATAAAAAAGAACCCAAATCTTCAATTAATAATTGTAGTCTGGTCTCACGAAAATAAACATTTACAGGCAATTTTTTAAAAATCTTAATGCATTCAGAATCCCTTAAAACTCCCCAAAAGCATTTTATTACTTTCCTAAGAGTGCTATTTATAAATTTATTTTTAAGCAAAAAACGCTTACTTTCGATTTTACTTGAAACGGAGAGACATGTGATTATTCACGAACTGACATTACACGTGTCGCTCATTTACAATCCCTGCGTTGTGAAAGCCAATTTACTCTTGCTTCAGTTTCTATTCTCATAACTGAACTATCAGTATAATAAATTTAACCCTAATGTAGCTTAATGAAAATGTGGGTTTAATATGAAAGTAGTAAAATGAAAATATGGGTTTTTTTAACATTAAATTTCAATGGTACCCACTGAAACATTGTTAAGAGTTGACGAAATTTTCTAGTTCTGAATATTTAAGTTCAGTAAAAAAGAAGTTAGACTAATGTATGTCTGGTATTACTTATAATGCATTATAAATACAAAAACATTTATTCTTTCATTTTTTTAATTAAAAATGTATAATGTATTAATTTTATTGTTTAAAAATTCTTCATTCTAAACACAGACAAATAGTTTGCAAAAATAAAGAAAGAAATTAACAAAAACCATACTTTGTAAATACTATACTGTAGAAAGAGGAATTAAAATTTATATTTAAAAATAAAAATTATTTCTAACAGTAACAAAATTACTATTAACTCAAATAATAATAATAATAATGTGTATTTAATTACTTAATACATAGTTAACCCTTTCACTACCAATTTTTTTTTTCTGAGAAAAAAATGAACTAAGTAATTAAATATATCAGTTACAATGCAAATATCGATAAAATTCTAAAAAAGGGAAAAATTACTGAATTGTCAGTGACATCAAGGAATACCAGTGGGACATGCATTCATAATAACACAAAGCATATTTAGCCCATAGGGTTATTTGAAACTGCCTGCGGGACATATATGTCCCGGTGGTAGCGAAAGGGTTAAAAAAGAAGACAAACTGCTTTAGTTAATATTTACTTAAAAAGAAAACCTTTCAATTCTAGTAAAAAATAAATAAAAAGAAGAGGCAAATCAAATTACATTATTTCAATTCTTGAACATTAACACATAGATTGTAACAATGATGGATTCATTATTTTTCAATGGACGAGATTTATCAAAATACTGATTTGATTAAATGCAATATCGAATAATAAAATTCTCCATCCTATATCTAAAGGCATACTATTTCTATCTAATCTGAAACTAATTTCAATAAAGTAATTAGACTGCAATGGAGCATTATTTTAACTTAAGAATAAATGGAATAAAATAATATTTTCAATGAACTTTAATACCACCGATTTCAGTGAAAAAGAAATATTGATTCGCTATGAAGAGCAACATCATTATTTCTTCATTTTGGTGATAAATAAACAGTTTGAAGTTTTTAAATATTTCTTTCATTTTGCACACCCTCTCAAAACCATAAATTTAATTTAAAAAATTTTTACTAAGAATTTACAAAGGATATTAGTGATATTAAAACTAAAAGAGCATTGAAATTGCCTCAGCGGATGGAGACGGACATTTTGATTCAGCACATGTGATATCAAGACCAGCCATGGATGGTGTTTGATTTAAACACTTGGGAGGCATTCTTGGGTAATTTGAATGTTTAATAAAATTAAATAATTAAATATTTGGCGGAAAAAAAATCTGATTAACGGTTTTAGGAGAGAATTTCCAAAAAGTTAGGATTGAAAATGAAAAAATTTAAGAGATGCTTCAATTGTCCATTTTCAGGCATCTAAACAAATTTTTTAAGAGCCAGGTATGTTATTAATATTACGGTGTATTTTTGTTAAGAAAATACTTTACCCTTAGGCTGCACATAACCACAGCATTTGTTATATCTTGTTACATTTATTTAAACTGAATAACCTTTATAACTTTTTCTCCTTGTTTGCTGGTTGATAAAAAGAAACAAGAAAATCTGTTAAAGATTCACTTAAAAAGAAATTATGAATAACATTAATCAACGTTAAATAACATAAATATTCATAGAATAGAATACTAGCGGAACTAGAACGTTACTATGTAAAAATTTGTTATTTAATTCCTTTAGACAAATTATAGCATATACAACTTTTCTTCTTGCTAAATACGTAAATTATGTACAAACAAACATTGAATCCGAATCCAACAGGCGTAAAACAAAATTATAAAATCAGGATTAACATTTTTACGATTTTTTCAAGCATTTTACCAGTGTAAAAAGAAGAAACTAAAAATTAAATTGTTTGAATAATGAAGTCCAACGCACCTGTCACTTAGCAACTACGAAGATAAAAAAAAAAGACAACAAATTTCAAAATATAAATGCTACAAAATAAATACAATTGTAAATTCTTCAATTTTTTCTGAATAAATTTGAATATAATAATTGATAATGAATTTAGACTATTATTTTGAGCATAAATAATTGCGTGCCCGTCCTTGGCACTATTTCAGTAAATAACGTATAAAATCAGGATTTCTTTCTGCTATCAAATTTGTTTCGTACATTGTGCATCAGTTTAAAGTTCGGAAAAATAAATTTTCATTCAAAATTACTGCAGCTTTTAGATTATTCAGTTTGAAAAGTTTAAAACATTTAAAAAAATCAATATTAGGTACTCAATGTTTGTAATTGTTTGTTTATATCATACGCTTCCGAATGCCTATTTCTGACACACAAAGCTGATGTCTTTTAAAGTTGCGATTAAAGGACTATTTTCACTGCAATACAAAAAAATTTACTTATGCGAATAAGGAGATTCGAAGGGGAGCTGGTAAGTTTTTCTGGAATGTAGGTTTTTCAGGAATCTGATATATTTCTCTAATCAGGATTCTTATTAGTATCTCCGAAATTGTATCCACCAATTTCCGTAAACAGCATGAACGATCAATAGAGAGCCAATTTCATTTTTATTAATTCACGCACATCCGATTGCCCTGAAATGTGAAGGAACACCTGTGGCGTAACTACCACTACAAATATTAAATACCAAATCAATAGTATATAAGACATGTTAACTTGAATCCATCACGAGGTACCTTTTGATAGATGAAGGTTGACATAGTCGATAATTAATTCCCCCACATTGGTGACCCGGACGTGATGGATTCAAGTGAAAAGATCGAAGCAACGATCGTCATGGACGCCGAAGCTAATAAAGTAAGCATTAAAATTCCACCTTTTTGGAGAGAGAAACCCGACATTTGGTTTTACCAAGTAGAAGCACAGTTTCAAATAAATAAGATCACAACTGAAGAAACCAAATTTAATTATTTGATATCCCAACTGGAACCGAAGTATGTAGAAAATATTTGGGACATTATTAAAGACACTAAGCCTAACAAATATACCTTGGCGAAAGAAAGACTTTTAAATACGTTTAAGGAAAGCGAAAACAAGAGAATTCAGCGCTTAGTTACAGGATTAGAACTTGGAGATTACAAGCCAAGCCAACTTTTGCAAAAAATGAAAAATTTAGGAGCAGACGATTTTTCAGAAAAAGTGTTAAAATCTTTATGGCTTGATAAAATGCCGAATTTTATACGAAATATTCTGCTTGTCAGTGAAGAAAGTTTAGATAAACTGTCTACGATGGCGGATAAAATTCACGAAATGAAAACTGGGGAAGAAATATGTGCTGTTTCACCAAATGTTACCAACAATGATGCTTTAATTGCACGAATAGCAGCATTAGAACAGAAAATTGATTCACTGCAAATAAATGACCGTAGTAGATCTAAATTTAGAAATAATTACCGAAATACATCTCGAAGTCGCAGTCATTCAATAAAAGCATTCAATAGGAAAGGTAAATATTGTTACTATCATTTTAAATTTGGTAATCGTTGCCGACCTGAGAAATGTTATTCACCATGTGCTTGGCGAGAAAAGTCGGAAAACTCCATGATGCAACAGGATTAGCGGCTACAACTGTTGCTGATGTTAATGAAAGCCGCAAGTTCAGATTATTTGTAAAGGATAAAAATTCAGGATNCAATTGTGCAGCTCTAGTGCGACGTAAATTAACAACAACAACAGCGTGAGGCTGAGCACTTTATGGTAGAACAGTTTAACGAGGATCGATAACTCGCATGCTCGGTCCGTACGCCGGCAGATCAAAGGTCATCCACCCATTCACAGAACAGAACCAGTGATTTCGATATTCTAATGGGAACCGTCTCCTTATAATCAGTCCGCAGCAGGACGCATCAATTTTAGGTAATAAACTAAACTAGTTGAAGTCACCTTAAGTCCCTTAAAGTTTCTGTTCTCTTACAAAATACGATTTCTGGTGTATTCATCATAAACTATTCCGGTGTTAGATTAGGATGCTACTGACAATTCAAAAATAGAAAGAAAAAAATTTAAAAAAAGTTTTGGACTGATTTAAGAAAACAATTTCCAATAATCCAATGGAAAAATGGAAGCAAAAGTTAACTTGACTAAAAAATCATTATTCGATTCTTCATAAATTCGTAATTATGAATTATTCTATTGCTACAGAACGAATGAATTAAAATATAGACATGAGAAAAATTTTAAAATGGAAACCAATGAATTTAAAACCCAGATGACTACCTAAAAAAAGATAGTTCGAGGATGCAATTAAAAATCTAATCGAAATGAAAATTACCAACTGGCATTTGTTAAGTCAGGCAATGGACTCTGGGCGTCGCAGGAGCCCAATTTTTGAAGGAAGTGAAATTAAATTACAATCACAATAGTTCTCAAAATTTTATACATAAGAAGAAAAAAAATATTAAATATGCTAAATACTTTCAAAAAGATTGATTATTTTTTATCTCTTTCTTGTTTTTAACTTTAAGAAATTTAAATTGATAATAATTTACGAAAATGTTCCTAATTTATCTGAAATATTGAGGGGGATTTTTATAGATTACCAGGTGGACATATACCCACCTCCCCCCCCCAGCGTCGCCCATGTGAATATACATAGTTCTTAGTATGTACCAAGTTAAGGTATCATACCAAACTGACTAAAACACACTCTGTAATTGATTTTCAACTTACTTGATGTGCTGGTGGCCTTAGCAAGAGTTACTTGGACCTAAGCACTGGCTTACAACTTTTACGTATTTATATTCTTTGTATTTATATAAAATCACCTTTGCTTCAAATGTAGGTACATTTTTCACTTTATACGATCTTGCGCCGCGAGTACGACGATTTTTCTGATTTTGTACCATTTAAATATAACTATTCTTATTATCGAACTTTTATAATGAAATATAAGTTTTATTATAAGAAAATACAATTTTCCAGGATCTGAAGATGAAGTTATTGGATTTCAATAAATCGTTGATTTCTATAAAAATTTTGGTTAAATCTCATTTTTTGTCACTAAATTGAATGACAAAAATGTATGAATTAATAGCTTGGGGGAGTGAGAGGAAATTTAAATAAACTTTAATTTGATAAAAAATTTAGCCCAGTACCCCAAAGTTTCAATCACAGTTTTGTAATTATGAAATGATATATGATTTGAATTCAATATAACGAAATATTGTTGTAATAATTATTTCTCCTGTGATTAAAAATAAATGATCCGATGTCTCTTTTAACAAATATTTAAAGTACCGTATATCTTAAGATTGAAGGTGAACGTGATTAATTACTTTTTTTCTTCTGAAAAAATTATGGAGCACAGCCCTCTACTTGCTTAATAATTAGTAATAAATAACTTCAATAATTAGTTCGTAATCATTGTTTCTTGTCCTAAGCTGGAATTTCAATGAAAAACAAAATTGGCACCAGTTTGCCACAGCACATTGATACACTGAGAAAAAATAAATTATGATCGAAACTACCAGAAAATGGTATAATTTACCATGTTTCTGGCTCTATAGGAACACAAAAAAGTTTAATAATTTATACCAAAGCGTTTTGGTAAAAATTTTAATATGGTTTAAAAGACCTATAAAGTATAGTTTTATAATATGAGTTAAAATTTGGTAAATGTGATAAAGTTTTTTAATTTCATCATGATTTTTTAGAGCATGGCATAAAAACCACTTATTCGATTAAATTTACTTTTCCGTTTTGTATTTCTTACTAACTGTGCGGTGATAAGAATTGTAATTTTGAAAACCAGAATTTTCGATACATCGTTACCATATATGTACGGAAAAATTATTAAATGGATGGTTTAAGTACTGTATATATTGGTTTTATTAACCAGAATTATGCTTCGTCACCAGAAATGTCATTAACATACCGTTCGCTAATTTTACCAGAATTTTTTCTTTGTACTTTAGCCTCCTTAATTTAGATTAATTAATTGTCAATATATTGACAATAAATGACACAAAAAGAATGAAAATTCTCTTGGAGACTTTGAGCGGCGTATAATATGAGTTATTTTTGGAGGAATGCATATGGTGTATGGCACAGAAGCTTAAATTTAGAACTTTATCGTGCCGTCAAAGAACACGTCATCAGATATATAAAAATCTTAGGAATTAAAAAGATTGGACGTGTGTTTAGAATGAACAAAGGTTATCCAACTCTGAAAATATTCTTTGCCAGACCCTCTGGAACAAAAGAACTGCCTAGACAAAGCCTAGAAAGGGATCTCGCCATTTTATGAGTGATTAATTGGAAAACCATGGCCAAAGGCCTGGAGGAAAGTTCTAGAGAAGCCAATGACCCACCCGTGTCTGTCGTACTGCTGAAGAAGAAGAAGTAGAAATTGTTGAAAATTTTTTTCGAAGTTAAATGAGATTGAATAAAAAAATTTTTTTTTTTTATAATTGTTACAATATTTATAAAATTTTGAATGCAATTAAAAAGACAAGTATTAAAAAAAACTCATATTCGGTGGTAAAAGTTTTTGAAAAATTAAGCAGCATCTCCCCATTAAAGGGAGGGAAAAACCATAAAAACTTTTTCATATTTTTCCAACCTAAACAAGATTCCCACCTTCAGAGTATACTCTAATACGAAATCTAATATTATATAGTATAGCATCAAAACTAACGCAAAGTAACATTACGGCGAACGCTAGATAATATTAGTTTGCATAGAATCTAATATTATATAATGCAGAGCAAACAGCTACCTCTTGTATCTTTCTAATATTAGAAGTTATGCAAGAACGTTAGATTTCACCGATTTTCCGATGTTAGCTAATATTAGGTGCTACTGCTACCGAGAATAGCTTTTATCGACAGTGGGTTTTATGCAAAACATTTTCCGCTATGGTAGCATAAATTTCTATTGAAATGTTAAAATAAAAAATATAGATTCGAAATAAAATGTTCTGATTTTCTGACAAATCTGTAGTGCGCAATCTTGGTACTGACTTCACTCTTCCCAGTACATACTGATACACAACTTATTCATTTCGCAAAAAAATTCTGATTTCTGGAACAATTTTTGCACATTTGAAGCAAACTATATATGATTGCGAAAAATTATAAATTTTATACATTTCTTCCTGCTGGTTTCGCAGTCGCTATACATATTTCAAACATGTTAATGTATTCATTGAATTATCTCTAAAAGTATTGGAATGAAAAATTTTAATGAGCTCTTTAATTAAAAATGTGGTCTTTTTACCTCTTTTTTTAAATATCTAATTACT